ACGTTTATCAAAATTATCAGTAAAGTGATTAGTTACAAAGATATATATTTCAAATAAATGCTGTTCCTTTGAACTTTCTATTTATCAAAGAATCCTGAAAATAATGTGTCACGATTTTCACAAAAATATTAAGCAGCACAACTGTTTTTTTGTTTGTTTCTTGACCACCAAATCAGCATATTAGAATGATTTCTGAAGGACCAAGTGACACTGAAGACTGGAGTAATAAAGCTGAAAATTCAGCTTTGCATCACAGGAATAAATTACATTTGAAAATATATTAAAATAGAAAATAGTTATTTTCAACTGCAGTAATTTTTCACAATATTGCTGTTTTTACAGTATTTTTTATTCAAATAAATGTAGCCGTTAAGAGCATAAGACATTACTTTCAAAAACATTTAAAAAATCTTACTGACCTGAGTAATTTAGTTATAATAATTTACCTCATAATTTAGTTAACCTTCTAATTTCCGAACTGCCGTGATGCATACAACAACCAATGTAATAAGTCAGATTCACTTCCAACTGTTTTTAATAAAACTGAACACAATTTTAGTGCCACTCAGAACATTTTACTTTGAAAGTGCTACGAAACATAAACATTTTTCAGAAATGTTGCCACAAAAACATTTTTCCAATGAGCCCGGACTGAATAAAAACAGGAACTATATATTAAAACATCTAATCACAATAAGTTTAGGTGATTTTGGATGTCTTCAGTGAGAATCATGGGACTGGCAGTGATGAGTACATCATCTCACACTGAGCACTGTAACAATGCAGCCACTGTGAAGACCACTGACCAACCTCTCAACAACTTCTGATGAATTGCTCACAATTTCAGCAACCCACCAAGATGTTATTCCGTAATACAAACTCAACAAACCACAGCAACAAGCCACAGGAATTTCATACAATTTTGAACGATACAGAATCAACTCATATTTTTATCTTGGAAATGATGAGAGTGAAAACAAACAGTACTATTAATATTTTTTATGCAAGTTATTTAAAAAAGCCATTTTTGACCAAAATAGCATCTCTGTGTTGGAAAAGACTGGTAACTTGAACCAGGCTAATCCAGCTATAGCTTTTCTTTCTCCTGTTACCACAGACCTCAGACTGTGAGGACCGTGCTGTCAGACAGAAGACTGAACGATGGAAATGCCATCTCAGCGATCCTTTTCCCCCTTCAGCACCGTCCTAACAAGAGATCAGGTTTGGGAGGCTTGAGTGACACCCTCAAGAACCAGGATCACGCCAGCCAGAATCTCTCTCAGACTGGCCACAGACAAGGCTAGGATGGAGCTTCAGAACGAGTGTTCAACCCTGCTCTGAACAGACACTCACTAAAGCCTGAGTCAGCAGAAAATTAGCGCAGACTTTATGGAAAATAAAGTAAGAGTGATAGAGAGAGACAATTTGAAAGGGATGTGAATATGGGATCCTATCTGAACTAGGGGGAATGTTGGTTTATGTCCTCTCTGCAATGAGAGTTCAAAAATACTGGAAAAAGTCATTAGTCACTAACCAGACTGCCTATAGAAAATAACTGACTGATTTACTCACCCTTATATTGTACAGAACACAACAAAAAAGCAACATGAAAGTGCTTGATACGACTTAGATATGCACCTGAACTTAAGTCTCCTGAACTTAATGTGAGGAACAGACCTAAATTTAAGTCATTCTTCACTAAAAATCTTTCCTCTAGATGTCAAATTTCATTCATATTTCCACATATTCAAACTTTAGCACATTGTGTTAAATTATAAGACACTCATCTTGATGTGCCAGATTTGAATGTGCAAATGTGAATGATATTAGTGCAACTTTTTGGAGCTTTTGGCCACTTTATGTTTTATTAAAAAAGCGCAGTGTGAACATCTTTCAAAACATCTCCTTTTGTGATATACACAATAATAACTGACTACATGACACAATTAAATTTTTCTTCTATTTCTTTAACCCTCCCAGCAGATCACATCTTTAGCAACTGTGCATCCATGGCACAGAATAGTGACACTTTTGACCTTCAACTAAACTTTGAGGCTGTTGCACACTCTGTATTAATGAAAAACAAGCATTAGCATGGGAATCTAATCAGGCCGCTATTAAAGAGACGAGAGACTAATCGCTGTCCTCCTGCCCTCTGGATTCCTCCGCTTCCTGTGCTGCCAGCTCGAAGGGAAGTTTCACAGCACTGTAAAATGCAGGGGCGCTGCTGTCTGGCGCTGTTTCCTCATCAATCATACACAGATGCCAAGCAATGACTCGGCATCTGGTGTCCCTCTGTCCAAGACAATATGCACAATTAGAAATGACCTGCAATTCAATAGAGCACTAAAGAAAGCCTGGATCTGGTATTGGAAAGAGGGGAACAAAAATGAATAACAGAAGGTCCTTAAGAATATATGCTTAAAACAACACAATTTCAAAATAATTCAAAGATTTTCAATTTGGATATTATTGCTGCCATCAAGATTGACCAGAAAAAGATAAAATAAACACTGACAAAAATATCACCTTTTTAAAATCCATTATGGTTTGATTTATTTTTCTGCTTTATATA